ACCAACAAGAAATCCTAGACCCTGAAACCCTAAACCCTAAACCCTAAACCCTAAACCCTAAAAAGCCTAAAGCCCTATAAAACCCAGGTGGGGAATTCCGGTGGTCTTCAGCCCCGAACCTCCCCAGTTCTACGGCCCGACCTCGAGCCGGCGGATCGCAATCAGCGAGATGTTTTTTGGGTTGATTGTGGTTTTTAAGTTTTTAAATAGGGTTTTTAAGGTTTTGAAGAGGGTTTTTAAATAGGGTCTTTTAAGGTTTTGAAGAGGGTTTTTAGTTTTAGGGGTCCTGGGTTCTTTGGGGTTTTGGAGGTTTTGAGGAGTTTTGGGGGGTTTCGTTATGTTTTTTGGGTTCCCCCCTCGGCTCGTGCCGCTTACAGTTTGTTCGTCTTCATGAAAGAAATAGAACAGTCGTCGACGCGCAGTGATGCTGCTACAATTCTCTCGTTGCGGATGCTCAAACGGTCTGACCGTTCTTGCTTCTCAAAGGATCCGTCTTGATGTTATCTGCTACTACCCACTCATGGCGAGTCTTTATTACGTTTCCTGGGAACTGTCAGTGTTGCGGACTCTGCAACTCTGGCTAGCGGCTAGCCTTCAAGTTTATTCTCGACATTCTCCCGCATAGGCCCTAAACCCCCTAAACCCCAACCTCCCCCTACAACCTACAACCTCAAGCCCAAGAAAGCAAGATGACACATCCCACACCCTGAAGCGCAAGGCTTCGGCCCTCAAGCGCTTAATCCACCACCAAGACCGGAAGCCCCCCGGTAAACCGAAACCCCAAACCCTAAACCATACGATTCTGAGGTCAGGCCCCAGGCGGCAAGAAAACCTGTGCACTGCTCCCAGAGTCGTTTTGTCTTTTGGGGTTACCACAAGGAAGAGTTCAAGGCCTTTCGGGGTGTGTCAGGGTTTTGGGTGCAGGGCCTTTTAGGGTTGAGGGTTGAGGGCTTAGGGCCTCGCAGGGATTTGAAGGCTTAGGGCCCTTTTGGGATTTTTGGGTTGAGGGTTTACGGCCTTGTAGGGTTTAGGGTTCGGAATACTAAAGGGAACACCATAAATTAAAAAAATAATATACGGGTTAAAGACGGAATGCTATGGTTTAGGGCCTTTTTGGGTTTAGAGATTAGGTTCAGAATATGACAAGGAAGACGATGTCAATGCTGAATGCTACACTTATACGGGTTCTAGGATGGATACCATGCCGGTCAGGGCAAGGCTTGCTACAAGGGTTTGTATAGGATTACCAGGTTCGCTCTCTTCCCTGGCAATTTTATGTCCATGTTTGCTGGAGACATCGAACATTAAGGGTTATCAGCCATTAGATTTCCAGTTTACGGTTTGGGAAATCCTAAACCCTAAACCCTAAACCCTAAACCCGACAGCTTAGGTATTTCGGCTCAGGAGTTGTGATTTAGGGCTGTGGGTTTTGGTATTAGGGCTGGGGATCGAGTTAGACTCTCCGGTAGGACCCTTACGATGCCCAGTGTATTTGGGGTTATGGCTGAAGAACAGGAAAAGTTTACCCATGAGAAAGCGGTGCAGAACCCAGTACCTAGTTGTTCGGGAAATGTGCTAGGACTTTCTTTGAGGATGCGATATACAGGCGGTTTAGAGCTTTGCGGCTTTCATTGCTTTCAGGGGATTCAGCGTTTGTGTAGAGGCGTGTAAGGCAATTAAGCCTTAAACCGGCAGTAGGTGCTTGGGTTTAGGGCTCAGAGATTGGAGAGAGACGAAAGTGTCACGTCTATGAACGGAAATATTATACCTAGGGGCTCCCGGATGTAAGCAGTATAAAGCTGCCGAATATCGAACTATGTAGGCTCCTACGGACATGTGCTCAGAGCGCTGGCGTTTTGAAAATACAAGGTTTTCAGAGCCCAGGCCCCCGACCCGAAATTCATCACTAGATTAAACATGAGACCCCTATACTAAACCCTGAAGCACCCAACCCTAAACACGTACACACCAACCCAAAATCCTGGTAGGGGGGCTTCGCAGATGCTTGGCTTAGGATGCGGTTTTCTAGGATCTGCGTTCTGAGAGTTAAGCGTAGATTTTGTGTTTGGGGTTTTAGAGTTTCGGATTTCGGGGTGCAAGGGTTTGGAGGTTTTGGGGTTAGGTGGAGGACGAAGGTAAGTTTTGAAAAAGCTTTGGGTACACCGACATTGTTCCTGAACAGCATGCAGTCAAGTATCTTCGGTTGCGACACTGCACTTCGCAAGCCTTGTTGGCAATGACGGTTTTAGGGTTTAGGATTAAACCCTATAAACACTAAACCCCAAATGTCTTGTGGGCTTGTTGAGGTTTAGGGATCAGACCCTAGCAGAGGCTAAACCCTAATCCACAACCCCTAAACTCTACAAGGCCTAAACCCTAGAGCCCAACATGGGCTTTGGAGCGCAAACGATGCAAAAGGCCCTTACAAAAACACCCTAAAACCTGACCTCTTGTAGGAGATTAAAAAGGCACTCAGCCTAAACCCTAAACCCTAAACCCTAAACCCTAAACCCTAAACCCTAAACCCTAAACCCTAAAAGGCACTCAGAGCGAAACGAACCTCAAGTGGCCCGAAGGACAGGAGCTACGGGACCTTCTGCCCAGCTGCAGGGAGCTCAACCTACCGAGACAAAGGGTGGCGGTTTAGGGTTTAGGGGTTTAGGGTTTAGGGTTTAGGGTTTAGGGTTTAGGGGTTTAGGGGTTTAGGGGTTTAGGGTTTAGGGTTTAGGGTTTAGGGTTTGGAGTTTAGCGGTTTAGGGTCTAGGTTTTTAGGGTTTAGAGATTAGCGGTTTAGGGGTTCAGGGTTTTGGCTTTGGGGTTTAAGGCTTCAGGGTTAAGGGCTCAGAGGTTTGGGTTTAGGGTTCTGCAAGGATCCATTAAAGGCGTCCTTTAACATGACGATAAGGGTATCTAATTCTACGAGAGTTTCAAGTAAGAGGTTTTCAGTCCTGGAAGCCTTACGTTATGCATCAGTTGTAACATGTATGATGACAGCAGCGTTCCCACTTCAAGCAGCCCGAGCCAAGATCCTCAGTAATTATTTTCCAGCTAAAGGATTTCGCAGTTTCTTCTGGCAAGCCTTCAACCTCTGTGTTCGTGTGGCGTACATCTACTTGGTTGAAGGTTTGGGAGAGTGGTCATGCCTCTGTGGTGGGGCCACACCCTCAGTCCCAAACCCTTAAAACCCGAAATCTTAAGTCCCTGTACCCTAAACCAGACACCCTGAACCCAACACCTCAAAGAGGATCCATGCAGGCTGTGCTTAGAGCTGCAGAAGGGGAGCAGCTATGTTACTCCGCCGTAGTGATCGGCAGATGGTCTGAATGGGCTAGCATGCAGGGCTTGTGGCTTGGAGGCGGACGGAGATAGTTTCAAGTATCTTTCCTAAACCCTAAAGCCCGAAACCCTATAAACCCTAAGACCCTAAATCTTTCCCAAACCCTAAAGCCCGAAACCCTAAAAACCCAAAGACCCTAAAGTATCTTTCTTAACCCTAAAGCCCGAAACCCTGTAAACCTTATAGGACCCTAAACCCCTAAACGAACGCTCAGGCGGGAGCCCAGGGATTTGCGCTGGCGGCCGCTGCGATGAGGTTTCGGGACTCCAGGGACGGTCCGCCCAGCTTTTATGGTTTAGGGTTTAGTGTTTGGGGTTTAGGGTTTAGGGTTCAGGGTTTGGGGTTTAGGGTTTAGGGTTTAGGGTAGTTACAGGACCCTATACGTCCTTTTCAGGGCTCCTTCGAGGGATCTGTAAGGGTGTCTATGAGTTTCTGTAAGAGTTTCTATAAGGGTTTCTGTAAGGGTTCTATATGGGTAGTTCTCCAAATTAGGGTCCCTCTTAGGGTCCTTTTATAAGTTGCCGTACTATGTTTTGGGACCCAAAAAGGGAACCCTAATTTAGAGAACTACCCACATACCATTCTGGTATATCATCGTGTATTACAGTCATACTGTATCATCTCATATTTGTAGAATGGGGGCTGCAGGGAACCCTAAATCCCAACCCTCAGCCTAACCCTAAACCCCAAACCCTAAACCATAAACCCCACACCCTAAGCCCTGCTTAACCGAAGAGATCCAACCAGTGGCCCAACCAGGCTCATACGCACATCGGGCGATCCGCGCAGCGAGACGACGGGAGCGGGGAAAAAGCCGTGCGGGAGTCGGCTTGTAGAGGGTTCTGAGGGGCTTAAACGGTTTTTCGCAGGGCTTCTTTGTTACAATGAGGTTCTTATAGGAGTTTTTATTAAGGATTTTTTTGCTGTAGGCTTTTCTGGGTTCAACATCTAGGATTCAGCGTTTCGGCTCTGGATTTGGCTTCTTGCCATAACTTGGGGTTGCCGCAAGGGTTGCTTCTAGGGTTCAGAGTTTGGGGTTTAGGGTTTAGGGTTTTGAGTTTAGGGTTTAGGGTTTGGGGTTTGGGATTTGGGGTTTAGGATTTGGGTTTTCGAATTCATGGTTCAGGCTTCAGCAGGATGTTGGGATTCGGGGGGGTAAGTAGGGCGCAAGGATCAAGGCTGAGGAGCTTTTCGGGGTTTAGGGTGTTTCGGTTTAGGGTTTAGGGTTTAGGGTTTTGGGGTTTAGGGGTTTAGGGTTTGAAGGGTTGAGGGTTGAGGGTCTAGGGGTTTAGG